GTATTCATTTGTGGAATTGAATGAAAAATCAAGACGTATAAATAACTGGCTTTCACAGAATTATCATGGTATCGAGTGGTATGATGGAGAGAGTAATCCGAACGCAATTTCATGCACTTGCGTGAAATTACGAAACATATTCGTGACTTCATGACAAAGGGCAGGGAAAAAGCGAGCTACTTGCAAAATTTACTAGCCCGAAACGTGTATAATCTGGAGAATATCTCGCCGATGTCCAGTGATTTTTCATCCAGCGAACTTGTAGAAGTTTGCTCATTCCACGCATTTAAAAAACAGTCGTTATCATTGTGCATTACGCAACGCATACAAATTGAAACACTGGTATATCGAACAAAGCGAAATCAACATCAGGAAACGTGACAGCGTCTATGTAGCTCAGTGCTTGTCCTCCAAAATTGGCGAGGAAGAGAGTGAAAATAACTATTCCTACAAATCGTGGGGTGAAGAGTCATCGTCTGAAGAAGAGGAAAACGAAACAAATACCGGGTTGGAACATTCAGTCGAACCATCGAGAACTATAACAATCACGTTACCAGAGGTAGAACGAAATTATATAAAATGAATTCGCTCGAAATTCGACACGCACTGCAACATCTCAACGCCAGATACACAGGCGTCTATCCAGCCGACAGACTACCGAGGGTGTGGACGAGATCAGCGGCAATAGTCGCTAATACAGACAATCACGACCGTCCAGGACAGCACTGGGTTGCATTCTACATCGATCAGAATGGAGCAGCTACATACTTTGACAGCTACGGGATGCCGCCCTGGGACTCGCGATTTCTCCTGCGTCTTAGAAGAAATTCCACCACTTACCGATGGAATACCTCTCAGTTACAGGGTCTCTTATCGACGACTTGTGGTCATTATTGTTGTGTTTTTCTTTACTTTATGTGCAGGGGTTATAACCTCAATACCTTTAAAAATTTATTTATCAATGATTGCGAACGAAACGATCAGCTAATTGTACGATTGTATAAGAAAATCTTTTGTCAATGTAAGCGCAAATCGCTAGATCATCATATCCCTATGTACCAGGTTCAATCCTGTATTAGAAAAATGTATAAGAATAAAATGTGAATTTATTCTATAAAAATTTTGTATATTCCTTTCCTTCCGCCTCTTCTCTCTTCCCTGTGATCTCCAATTCGCGGTAACAAGATTTGTTATAAACTTTTCGAGTTCGAAAGCGAGGAGACACACACACAAAATATTGAGGTAGACATATACCGGAGGTATCGTTTTCTAACAATCGCTGAGTAGTTTTTATCTTCGAAATTATCCTTATCTGCTCGAACATGTGCACGCACACTCGCCTCAAGAGCTGGGGCCTCAGAGCCACGAGTCCGTAGGGCTTAGAATTTTCGAAATTTTCTACGCGTGACGTCAATACTCTACATATGTATACAATATATCTAGTTTTCATCAGAATATAGCAATAGCGTAGCGTATAAGACGCTTGACTCAAGAGCCAACGGACTCTGGTTCAAATCCGAGGAGGACCTCTACAGGATTTTTCCAGAGAACACACATGTGGGGATGACCACACACACACACACACACGCGCATATTTCATCCCGTTATACAACTACGTCGTAAAGGCAGTTTCTACCAGAGAGCAGCAGTAGTACGGTGGTAAGACGGTTTGACTCGAGAGCCAGAGGTCCCTGGTTCGAATCCAACAGAGGACTTTTTATAGGGTTTTTCGAAACTTGTGACGTCAATACTTTCCATATGTAGACGATATAGCTAGTTTCCATTAGGGCAGAGCTCGGCAAAATGTGCACGCGACGGCCGATTGATTTTCGACTATCTCCGCCCACCGCTATTCCCTTTACCTTGCCGCTCCGCGCGCTGCCTACAAGCCGCTCGAGCCTCAGGAGTGTGTTTCCAATAGTTCTCACATTACCCATGAGGTACTATTGTTGACGCGTTTTTTTTTAAGTGGTATCCCCAGTAGACCTCATCATTTTTCAAAAATAAAGTTTATAAAAAATGAGAAGTGTTCTTCTTTAAGCGACGATTCTTTACCACGTCTTATGCGGTTCGCTACATGCAATATCCAAATTGACGTTTCCACTCTTACCAATAAAAGACGTCGAAAATCGAATTGAATATTCTTTATTTAATATATTTTATTTCGCTTCTGTTCAATTAGTTACGGGTTGTTACAGTCATCAGTGGATTAGGCTTACTGGGGATACCACTTAAAAAAAAACGCGTTAACAATAGTACTTCATGGGTGACGTGGAAAACTATTGGAAACACGCTCCTGAGAATCGAGCGGCTTGTAGGCAGAGTTCGGAGCGGCGAGGTAAAGGGAATAGCGGTGGGCGGAGATAGTCGAAAATCGGCCGTCGCGTGCACATTTTGCCGAGCTCTGCATTAGGGTATAGCAGTAGCGCGGTGGTAAGACGGTTTGACTCGAGAGCCAGAGGTGTCCCGGTTCGAATCCAGCAAGGTCTACAGAGTTTTTTCGAAATTTGTGACGTCGATATTTTCCATATGTAGACGATATAGCAAGTTTCCATTAGGGTGTAGTAGTAGCGTAGTGGTAAGACGCGTGACTCAAGAGCCAGAGGTCCCCCCAGGTTCGAATCCAGCAGGGCCTTACACAGAGTTTTTCCAAAACCTTGTGACGTCGATACTTTCTTGTTAATAACAATGATAATGGCGAGTCGATTATTACATGACAGTTGCAGAATCATATTTTGCGATGTTTAGCTGTGGACTTTATCAAGCAATTTGATAAAGTTCACAGAAGATTGTGTCTAATGATTGCTTTGCGAAACACTCTGTTATATCTTAACGCAAAAAAAAGGAAAAGGGAAAGGATTGCTTGTCATTCTTTTGATTTATGGAGCATTCATCGGAGCAATCATATCCATAGCCAGTAATCTTCCATTCGAGATGAATTTTGATGTAACATGAGAAATGTTTTGTATACACTATACTGTAATCAAGAATTTTTTATGTTATGCTGCAATTTTACGTACATTATACACAGCTGCAGCTCATTATTTATGAAGGATATTGTAATATTACTAGCTAAACCATTTTCCGTGGATGATTCAATGAACAAAAAACATATGTATATATTTCCTGATTAAGAAACCCGTCGGTGTCTTGTCCATAAATATCGAAGGATAACCGAAAGAGCCGATCAGGCTGCGAATTTTATTCCGCGGTGACCGAAAATAAGCCCATTCCGACCATAAAAATCAAACGTTCCATTGTTTCTTCGAATTCGTCCTCTCTGGGAAGTCTTTATCACTCATTATGTTCCGTCTATCACGCGCGATATATGAATCAGATTACTCGTAAATGCGTGCCGCGATTGTACGTGACAAACGATGTCAAAGTGTATGGCAGGTCGACTCTCAGACCGTCGTACATAATTCCTCACTTTTATTTGTTTATTATCCTGAGTGATCTCGTTTCCGTGAAACTATTCAGGATTTACATCGCACACTTAATCGGAATCTCATACGATGAGATGAGAATTGAACGAGAAGCTATTTATTAGAGGCTAATTTGTAGACAATCTTCGACAAGGCTGCGATTGGTTTCATAAGAACGGCGTATGAGATGTGATGAAACCGCGACGTTGAGTAGCAAAGATGGAAAAGCTGTTTGAACTGGCCGCGTCGGCGAAGACGAACTTTCGCGAACGTTAAAGTCTGCTGAGAGTTTCTGACTTACAACGTCTCTCCTTTTCGGCGATCAGCCAGAGAGAACCTCGTCGAGTGACTTCCTCAGCCAAGGCTTTTTCGCAGCCTTGGCGATGCTCTCGGCATAATTGCGACGACGTTCCGCGGTTCTTAAGAATGTAAACAAATTACATGGTCTCAATGCAACATTGCTGGTACTTATTGATTAACCTATTAATTGATTGAATAACACCACGGAACGTTTGCATATATTCGCGAACTTTAGCCAATCGGCGATAAAACTCGTTCATACACCCCAAAAAAGTATTCTATTTGTAAAATGATTTTTTTCATAGTCTCATATTTATACGTGAAACTATTTACAGGAAAAGGATTCCTCTTTCGACAAAGCGATTAAAGTGAACCATTCATCTAAAATTTGTTCGATATTATTCTAACTATTTTCCTTTTATTTCAAGAGGATTTCCTCTTATATAAATTAATTTTCCTCTTATATGAAAAGGAATATGTTGATTTAAATGTCGGCTTATTTTCTTCAGTCATTCTCTGTCTCAGGACTTAGACATGAACGAAAAAATAACCACATCCTCATTGGTTAGAATATTTAGAACGCTTTTTAAAAAAGATGTGTATGTTGTTTCAACATATAACGAAGATAATTTACCCATATTTGTTCAAATACAGTTTAGAATCTATTGCAAGAAGTTGAATAATATATATATCCCTTCTTTTAACTATGTTTCATATAATTGGTTATGATAAACATTTTTGTAGCTATAAAACTCATAACAAAACTGATTAGAAATTTATTTGTTATGATGATCTTATTTCATTCGTGCCTACTTATTGTCAAACTAGAGCTAGAGGTACATTTATATATATATATATATATGTATATACTCATATTCCGTATTCTTGTTTTATTTTTATCGTGCGATTTGTGCGCTTTACTCGCGATGCGGCTCGAGTCGTAGCCGATGCTTCAATCAGAGAACTCAACTTCCGGGAATCAATTACAAAGTTCTCTCGTTAAACTATCGGCGACGTTGCGAGCCGCATCGGGAGGGAAGTGTTGAAATCGAATCGAGTGGAAATCCGCGCTCATATGGCCAACCGTCTGCGCGCGATTTCACCGGTGAAGCTAAAAGAACGCGTCGAATGACTATGATCGAGCGTGCTAATCGATCATCGGACAGAAGCCGAAAGTGACGGTACCGGGTACACGTGACGTGTCCGGCGTTGCAAGTGCGACGGAGGATTCGGTTGGAATGTGATTTCACCGAGAATCTTCCGTACGTGCTTTCATTATATTTCTACTTGTCCCCAGGTGAAGATATAATAAAGAGCTGCCGTTTACACCGCGTACCGACATTTCGACTCTGTCACGATCGATTACCGTCTTCGTCTGAAAAAGGATCAAACGCGAACCATCATGCAAACGAGCGCACACGAGTTCTCACTTTGTGACAATAACACACGCGCGATCGGCCGTGCATGTTGATATATGATAATTTACAATTTTCACAAAAAAAGACAACTAGCTCGTCGTCGCGGCTATAAAACGAGGGCAAGAAGATGCCTACTCTGGATAGAATACGCTCAGAGGGAAGTTGGCATAGATGTTGTTAGCGATTTCCTTGATAACTTTGGCAGCGTACCATTCAGCCGTCCGGTGCATTTTGTTCATCAGTGTCTGCCATTGATATTGCAAAAATTGATCCAAATAAATGGTCATCGTCTCGTTATAGCTCGCCGTTTTAGTCCCCGAGATTTTATCGATTTTCAATTGCATCTGGATATTTATCACTTTAAAATATTCCTCGCTCGTTTCCGGTTTATCGTAATTTTCACCATATATAACGACGTCGGCGGTGACGGCGGTTTTTAAAAATTGTTGTCAGTCGGCCTACTTTTATGGGCCTCGTAAAATTGGGCATCGCTTGGTATTTTGTGCGCAATATAATCTGTGGGAACTTCGCCTGTAACATTATCTGATGCCTTGAGTAGCTGAAAACGAGAATGTCCAGATAGTCGAATGGCTGTTCGGCTGCTGAAATTCAGCCGCGCTCGAATTCACGATGCAGCTTCTCCTCGGGCGAAGAAGATTATCGTTCCATTTGTCGTACGACAAGTGTCGTCGAATCTGTCGGTCGAATTTAACAATTTCCGTGAAAATTCTTTATCCGGCGACGCAGGAATTCGACGATACTCATTGTACTACATTGCAAACCCGAGTGTGTTATTTTGACACGTATAGGCTGAAGGTTTCTTTACATGTTTCTTGTTGTCTTAAGCTACGTCGTTTAATTCATTTAGACGTTATTTAGACATTATATTTTATTTTGTTTTTTATTTATTTTTTTTATTTATAAAGTGATTTTTCCTATAGTCTCATATTCTAAGCCGTTTACGGGAAAAAGAGTTTCCTATAAAGCGATTAAAGTGAACTATTCATCTAAAATTTATTAAATTCTAACCGTTTTCAAGAGAATTTTCTCTTATATCAATTAATTTTCCTTTTATATGAAGAGGAATATGTTGATTTGAATGTCGGCTTCTTTTGTTTAGTCATGCTCCATCTCCAGACATGAACGAAAAAATAACCATATACTCATGGGTCAGAATATTTAGAATGCTTTTTAAAAAAGGTATATATGTTGTTGTAATAACGAAGATAATTTACCCATATTTGGTCAAATATAGTTTATAATCTATTGCAAGAAGTTAGAAAATATATTTTCTTCCTTTGAACTATGTTTCATACCATTGGTTATGATGAACATATTTGCAGCTATGAAGTCCATGACAAAACTGATTGGAAATTTATTTGTTATGATGTCTTATTTAATTCGTGCTTACTTATCGTAGAACTAGAGCCAGAAGTATATTTATATATATATATATTATTTTTTGCTATACATTATCATAATTTTTTCTAATTAAGTAGTTTAACTAGTAAGAAAGAGAATAAAGTATAGTATAGTAAGAATAAATAATAATCCTCTTAAAAAAAATTAAATAATTTGTGTATAAGAGGAAATTTATATTAAAATTAATAAAATTTGCATTACACACACACATACGTACATATAACATATAACTTCTCTAACTTTTTAAGTATAATGCGTTTATAATATTTTCCTTTTAATCCTAAAGGAATCCTCTTGTGGCCACATATAAGAATAAAATCCTCTAAAATTTAAACGATTCCGCTTGTTCTGAAATTACTTTTTTTGGATGAAAACAATACTCGAGATTGCAGTGATATAAGAAGGCTATTAGCTCCACATTATTACGTTTATTGTTATGTGTGTTGTTACATGATCGACTCTAAAATCGACATCCGGGATGAGACGATCGCTTGGATCGCGTATCGCGAATGAATGTTTGTATGTCGTATGTCGATCTGCTCTATCGCAATTACTTACTTGAACCCCGTTATATCGAAGTCTGCTGCTCCGGAAATCGTTATATCCAAAAACATCGTGGTGCTTGTGTATTTACCCGCCATGAAAAAATCGTAAATCAGTATATAATACGGGTTGAACATCGGAATACCCAAAGAATAAAGACCATCCTTCAAGGCTTTAATGATTCTATGCTGCGCTTTATACATCCCCCTAGATCCATCTCTCTTTGATTACAAATGTGCAGTTGTGGTACTAAGAACAAATTACATATTGCGTTCGCAATTACTTTTTCGCACATGTCAGTTTTGAAAAACACACGATTCGTCGGAAGGCAGCGGGTCAACTCGAAAAATACCTCAGATTAAGTGTATCTCTCTTAGCATAGACTTCTATTCGCGAGATTAAAACGGAGTTACAAATGTTAGCTATTCGAGAAAATTTTCGGATTTGCGAGATGATCGCACGGTTACTTACACGTAATTTCTAGATCGTGGTCAGACTTCACCATGGTCATCATGCTCATCAAAAGGCTCAATAAAATAACACGCATTGTGGCTTACCGAAAAATCCTCGGTCGAATTCAAATTTAATGTTACGTCGAAATATTGAGTGATTTTAATGCGCGAATTTCACTGTTACTCGATAATGTTCCGACTATGCGATTTCGACGATAACTAGCCACCTCGCGTTGTTCTCGTTTCCACATCTCTCGTTAATATATTTGTCCGACGAATCGGGATTTGCATTTCGGACACGACGATCACGTGTACACACAATGCAAATCACGAGCGGGCTCGTGGCTTAACATTGTGCCAAGCATTTGTCGAGAGAATAATATGGAACTTGTAAATCTACATCGAAAGTTCTCACGAAATCCTATCATCTTAACTAAGGTGGCTACTTGAAAGGAACATATATTGCGAAGCGAATATATAAAACGCAGTCTTTAATTTTTAAAGTATTGATAATGGGACAATTATTCGTGTCCTGCGGAAGATGAAGTGCAATGGATCGATGTATTTTGCTAGATATTATTCGAAGAGATCAAGTGATAATACATTGAGAAAGAAAAACGTTTAAAAATATGAAATATTTCTACTGTTGCCGAATTTTTTCATTGTTGAAAAAGGAAAGGAAGAGAGAAGGAAAACGAGTAAAAGGAGTTACGTAGAATTACATATTATATGAAATTTCACTTGATACGTGCATAACTCTTTATTGCGTTGGTTAAATTTACAAATAAATTTGTATAATCTAAGCGCCGTTATTCACGCGAAGAAAAAATATCAATATTGCAAACGCTCTTACATGGATTTTTTTCTCTGCGAGGAAAACAAATATCTCGCTTATTGCACGTATTCTTTTCTTTCTAGAAATTCTCAAGTATACGCGTACTTTCTGGATAATTATATACTCGAATTTATTTTACAGTCAGGGCAAAATTGTTCTGGATGTTGTTTAAGATACAGCTGATGCTTCAATGAAAGAATTTATTTTTGGACTGCTAAAAAATAATTTGTTTTATTGAACCATTGACTGGTGTTGTAAAATGCTCCGAGAAAAAATTTTCCAGATTGTTTCAGCTCCAAGTTTACAATTGTATTTCGTATATCCAAGTTTACAAAGAGTAAGGTTCTTTAGCGTAAGATCTTTAGGTCTAGGAAGGATCTATATATATTATTACCGATAAGATTGGTAACGCGAAATGGTTCCAATTGCAAGCGACAACTCGCGAGCTTCATCAGTTATGACGAAAGCCGAAGTGATGGTATACGAGATATCTAACATTGCAAGTATAACGAAGAAAACGCGTAAAACATAAGTATTTTTATCATACTTTTATTCATTGAATGAAAGTACAATAAAGAGACACTGTGTGCATAGTGTACTATCATGCGAGTTCTGTCACAACCGCAAACCCGCGAGCATTCGTTCGCATTTGATGCGCACTGAAACCCATTGGAAGAAGCCATTTTCTAAAGCAGCGTATACGAATCTCCGTATCAAAATAATAAATAAGTAATGCACAACTGATTGTGCCAGCAAGTTACACTCATTATAAAATAATTAGTCTCTTCATCATGACAATAAAATCAAGACGATGCGTTTTAACGAGACGTTAACATAACAGTTGAGAAATTTGTATAAATCCTACTCGAAATGGTCTCGATAAGCTCAGCTGCGATGTTTTCGATGTTATAAATTATTTCGGAAGTCAATGGATCCCACTCAAGTGCAAGATAATCATTTGCCAACTGCATTACGTATTCGGGTGTTCCTCTTTGTTGTTTATTAGTCTTCACCCCTCCAAACTTTAAGATTGCCACAGTGACGTTGTTCACGTAAAAATATTGTTCTTCGTTCTCAAAATGCTTGCCTCGTATAATAATTTCAGCAACGACGTTCGTAAAATTGCTATTTAATATGTATCTGTTACTTTCAATAAGCGTAGGAGACGCATATGAGGCGTATGCATTGAACTTAGTGGACACACTGACGAATGGAAAGTGCGCGAGAAACTCAATATAATGATCTTCGACAACTCTGGAAACAAGAATTTTAGGATAATTTTGTGCTCAGCTGGTCACAAATCGCGTTTGGATTCATTACGTAGATCGTCTCGTTAGGACAAGTTGTTACAATTTCTTTTGTTATACGGCGAGTATTGTGCGGATATGTCAATTGATTGCTTAGCGCATTTTTAACACTCCCCTCGGACATAGGAATTCTCTATCTGACAATATTCGTCGTACAAGTGAAATATTGGCTTAACAGTACCGAATAATCCGCTGATGTGTTTATGTAATGTTTAGATAATAATTACTTACCTGACTCTACTTATCGTGAAGTTTGATATACCGTTGATATATGTATCTCTAAACTTTATCATAGGGATATACTGGTTTTCGAAGGTCATCTTGTAAAATTGCGTATAATATGGCTTGAAAGAAGGTATACTTAATTGCGGAACACCCTGCGCTAAGTAAGGCCTCATCGAATCCAAGCTTCGCGGTAAGCATGCTTGGAGTCGCGATTTCGGACATGTATGTAGATTTGGTACTAACAACAAAATAAAGTGTCCTTGCAATTTTTTTTTCGCACGTACATCAAAGCGGCACAAGCCGATTTTACGTTCGATCCGGAAAACGCGCGGTTCCGCGAGAAGAAAAATCGACGCGGTTCGTCGAATATGTAAGATCGCGCGTATCTGTCATAAGATGGCCGCAGGAAAGTGAGCATCATACGTGCTGATACTTGTTGGAGAATATTACTTTATCCGACAATCGCAATGTTACTTACATCTGTCCCTTAAATAGTTGGCAGACATCTCCGTGATGAAGCCGCTCGTTATAACGAAAAGAGCAAAGATGGTATGCATTGTTGCCTGCAGAGAGGTTCTTGTTTCGAATTTAACGAATGCCGAGCGATTTCGACGTGTAGATTTATCACCAGTGGTGATAAATAATCGTACGATTTCGACAATAATCCAGCCACTCGCGTTGTTCTCGATTTTACGACTTTCGTTAACATATCGGTTCGACGCGTCGAGAGTGTATTTTAAACTCAGCGATCACGCATCAACAGGATGTAAATCACAAGTTGTCTCCTTATACAACGTTGAGGCGAAGACGTATTGAAAGAACAATGATAAATATGTAAACACATGACGAATATTTTCGCTGAATCCTTGCAAAAGGTCTCCCTTTACGATTGTTATCCTCTGAGGCGATTACTTGGAACGAAATAATTTGTCGATTAAAATTATAACATCAGCTTTTACCTTATCGCATCGCATTTTGAGACTTAAATTGATGGTGTCAGTTTTCGACTAGTTAACAATTGGAAAGATCGATTCGCGTCTACATCGGGAAATTCTGTTTGGTAGATTTTACTAAGCGAGAAAATATTTGAATATGAAAAATATATCTCCCCCGAATTTTAATAACTTCAACTCAAACTGTTATCTGTTCGGGAGCGCATAAAATATTTTCCGTGAATGTTTATACACATATATAGCTTTCACGTTAAATTAATCAAGGATCAATGTATTATGCTTCAAATTTTTTCTTTAACATACATAACTCTTTATTACATGTTCTCAAAATACAAAATTACTTTGTATCATACTTGTGCTACTATATTTGCGTGATAAAGCTGTCAGCAATATGGAAGTGTTAGAATGATGTTTTATTTTACAAAATCGTTTATTAACATCGGTTACGTTTTAAGCTGCATTGAAAAAACTAAGTCTATCCTGATTTGCATAATGGTTTGTAAATGCTATCTACGACAAAGTTAGAAGTGCATCGAATGATCAAGGTTGCTCGATGATTGATTATGACGAAGAACGATGAAGGAGCCGAAATGATAATGCAGAAGATATCATCCGACGTTACAACTCTAACGAGAGATTCGCGACGAATCTAAGTATTTTTATTAAACTTTTATCTATCAAGATAAAAGTACAATGAAGTATTTATACCATGTACAGTCATTCGAATTTTGTCATAAGCGGTTGTCATGCTCGCACTTTTGATTATTTAATGCGCACCTAACATTGTCAGAAAAGACGTTTCGTAAATCGATACATGTGAATGGTTACTCGGTAAGAAATAATAATTGTGTACAATTGGTTCTGAAGATAAATATTTATTATATAGTGATGGGTACTTCGTCACTACAATAAAATAGAGACAATTGCACGTCTAAATAAGCGTCAGCAATACGTTAATTGGATATTTCAAGAAAATTTTATTCTCTCTCTCTCTCTCTCTCTCTCTCTCTCTCTCTCTCTCTGTCTCTCTTTCTCTCTTTCTCTCTTACTCTCTGTTGTCCGGATAATATTAGATGCGAATAATTGAATTACATGTATGCTTCGGGAAGTTATAGCTCCCCAGTGGTTTTGCTGATAGTAAGTTATGTTGATGATTAATTGGGAATACCATTTACTTATTATTTCCGAGGTGGTCTTAACATCCCCTACGCTTTTGAATACCACGTTGACGTAATAAACGTTGAAATATTTATAGGTCCTTTTCCAGTCCTCGTAATATCCACCTTGTACAGCGATGCTAGCGTTGATATTCGTCAAGTCGCTCTTTACAAACTGGGAGATGAGAAACGCGGTCGTACTATGTATGTCGTAGTTAGCTGACACATTGTTGGATGGAAAGTATGCGTTAAATTTAATCTCCTACACAATGCGTTTATAGTTGTTGAGAGAAACACTGAAAAGAATTTAATGCTAGTTTTGCGCTCACGTGACCCGTGATTGAATTCATCATGTGGATCGGTTTTGCAGAATAAGACTATCGATCGATTTTACGTTGATCCACATGGAGACAATCATCCTTCATCTGAATCATGCGTAAATTATTCAGAGATGTATCTCGACCGGTGTGCGTCAATTTATATATTAGGAGCGCAAAAAAGTTCTGAGCCCTAGATTTCATACTACTGAAACCACAATTTAAATTGCATTAATTTTCCCGCCCTCTTGCGATTTTAAAGCAGTGACATTTGGTCTTTCGAAACATCGTGCGATTTGGCGTTTGATGCACATAACCTTAAAGTCAGCAGTGTTCACGATGACAATAACAAAAGAGCATATTCGATTTTCCATCCACTTCGCGTTTCATCTGAAGAAAAATGCTGCTGAAGCCACAAATGATCTGTGTTGCATATGGAGATAACGCTGT